AATAATCACTACAATAACAATAATAATAGAAGAAACAGAAATAAAAGTCAATCTCGTGATAGAAATCATAAAGATAGAAGCCAATCAAGAGACAGAAATTACAGAAGCAGATCTAGGGATCAATGTCAAGATAAATAGTGACCTAGATCTAATTGTTCACTATCACTCTACTACCAAAATATTAATATGGCTAAGAAGCAATCTGCTTTTAATTCTAACAATTGGAAAAGATTGTTAGACAACTATTCTATTAGAACTGTTCTAACCACTTATATCACTAAAGCTAATAAAGAAAATACCAAACCTCAAACCATTAGCTTGTTAAGCCTGTTACAAAGCTTCTTTTTCTGTTGGTAATTCTTCTAAATCTTCAGATAGTTTTTTATCTTGTCTAGAATAGTTCAAAAATTTTACTATGTGAAAACTATATAGACATAGTAATTAGCTTATTCTTGATAATATTGAATTTGTTGTTAGAAAAATTCTATTATCTTTTCAAAAATTTTTTCCAAATATTGGACTTTGGCTTCTAATCGAGCAATAACTTAATCTTTTTCTTCATCCTTCCTCTCTTCAAAGATAGTATCCTTACTTATCTTAAGTTTTTCTATCATAATAGTATTATCATAGTATATTTCTTCTATAGGCTGTTCTGTAGTAATAATATCATCTTGGTATATTTCCTCTGTAATTGTTTCTTTGACAAGAGGAGGTTCATTTTTTCTTGATAGTATTCATCACAGAGACCTTGGTTAGATTCTAATTTAATACTTTGTTTAGCAAAAAGATACTCTTAGCAAAAAGCTACTTTTCTTCAAAATTTTTCTTTAGGTTCTCAATTGCTTTGCGAGTATTAAAGTTAGGTTGAGAGGTATTAAAGGATTCATTTAGGATCTGTTATAGGGTAGCTTCTTCATCTTTTATAAGCAACACTTGTTCTGCTTGAAATAGAATAATAATCTTTTCAGAAGTCTATTCTTGGTTATATCTATCATCTTCTTGCTCTTCTATAGCTTCTTCTATACTTCTGTATTTTGAGTAAAACTTTAACTAGATGGTAAATTCTATTCTGGTTTAAATCATACTAATATCTAGCATTTCTGGTAGACTCAGTATAATACCTGATTCTGTTCCAAATCTCATAGTTTGGATTATATTGGAGGTCTGTAAAGATTTTATAAGTATATATGTGTTTTAATTCACAGAACTACAATTCTTCTCGTATGCTTTCTATATTATACATTCTTGATCTGAGTTTCTGAATATTACAAAGTTTGCATCAGATAAAAGTTTTTTTACCAAGTCCTGTATCATAATATTCCTGACTTCTGGGGTCTTTTGGATTAAGAGCTTCATAGTAAGTTTTATAACAAGCAGTACAAGCAAGTTTTTTTTCTAATTTGTATAGTTTGTCAAGTTGCTGAGAGATACAACAATTACAACAATTATGGATTCTTCTTCTACTATAG